ATAGGAATGGCCCGTAGTAAATAAGGGTATTTGGAGCATGCAGAAGGCATGCACGCAGCTGTCTACAGCTATACTGTAAAGTGGCATTGGCAAATCTGAAGAATGCCTGCTGAATCCTGCTTGCAACTAGAACAGACCCGGCCCGCAGACAGTTTTGAACATCAAAACATTTATAGCTTTTTGTCTAAAGTTGATCAGTTGCTTACCTTTAACATACCGCAAAAAACTTCTTTAGTATTTGTGAAGTTTAACAAGTTTAAAATAAAAAACAATCATAACATCACTGTTTCATTTTATTTTTAAGTAAATTTGGTTCAGCTCCCTAACACAGTTCAGATTTTTCATGTGCCCTCCCTGTAGAAATTAATTGCCCACCCCTGAACTAGAAAGATGAAATGGCCAAAGCTGATCTGGAAGTGGCAAATACAATCAGCAAATGCAAATGCGTAGGAGTTGTGTAAACATAAATATACTAACGTAGTGCATTAAAAATAAAACATCTGGAAGTAAGGAGAAGGCACTCTGGGCCATAGAGCAGCTTGCATAGAACTATTATATGGGGAAGCCTTCTGCTGCATCATTTGAGAATCTGGTACTTGAAATGCTTGCCGTTGCATGAACATATTTATCTTATTGGTGTGACATTGCTTTGCATGTTTTTTCCATTATTGTTGAAGCCAAGCAAAGGAATAGTGATACAATCCTATGTAGTTCATCCTTCTAGCGTATTTATATCCTATAAGAATAACACACATCTTAATAATTCTTTTTGGAATGTTGATGTTTTAGGAATGAAAACCCTAGCCTGAAAATTCCACTGGTGCTGGAAATTCTTTGTGAAGTTTAGCACTAACCATCACACAGGGAAATCCATGTAAATGCTACTGGGGATCAAACACTGGAATGTATATGAATAATATATTAGTAGATATACAGAACATATAATTAAATTTAAAATAGTAGAGCAAATTTATAAAATATTTAAATAGATTGGTGGAAAACACAGCAGAGATTCACATACACTGCTTGTCTTCTAGTCAGTCACGATACACTGCTGGCTCATAACAGATCACATTTTTATAGAACGAAAGATCTCACTTCAAAATGAAGTCCCGCACACCTATGTCTTTGTGGTAGACTTCACAAGCATAAAAAAGCTGGGCAGTCAAAAGTTAAGATGACAATAATAACTTGAGCCAAAGTGAGGAGACTTGTCACAAAAGAACAGCCGTAGGATATGTGGATGTTCCCTGTCTGCAGTCTGTCTTCCACTTCCATCTGCAAATTTGCAAAGGATGGGTGTACATCAATTTTACTTGTTCTGTCTAATTTACCCAAAACAATCTGCTTTCCTTTCTCACAGTATACCAGACTTGTGTCTGTGTAATAATAAACCTTCAAACCTACCAGTTTTGCACGGATAACAGCATTGATTTGGAAGAAGAGTCTGGGAGCAACTGAGAAGGGATAAATGAAACACTCACTTTTGCATATCCGTCCCTTGCTCCTAAGAGTCCATTGCAGAATCTGCTTTCCCGCATAGAAAACTTTTTGTGACAAATGAAAAAGAAAAGAAAAACAGTGGTAGCCAAGAATAGAAGTGCCACAGCTGCTCCTCATCATTCTCTTTCCCCTCCTGGGCGTTTGAGTCAGGGGACACTGGGCCTGCCACTGGGCAGGTGGGCCTTGATGCGGGTGGCTGTTGAGTTTGAGGAGTGCCTCAAGGAGGGAGGGGCTTGGGCTCCCTTGAGAGGATCACCAGGGGAAGGGATAGCAGCAGCGGTGGTGGCAGTAGGCAGTACCTTGTCCTTCTCCCTCCCCCTTTCTGTTGAATGGCCTTGTGTGTGTGTGTTTGTGGGAGGGTCTGGTCAGGAAAGAGGCCCGTTCTGGGGCTTCTGTGTCTTGGCCCACCCCTGAGGAGAAGGAGGGGCAGAGGAAAGGCACACGCTAGGCTCTTTGCCACTGCCAGAGCCAACTGGGGGGGGGCATCTGCAGCTGCAGCAAGAGGGGCTGGGTCTCCTACTGGGGCTGATCTCTCTGCCACCCCCCATGCTGGACTTGGGAGGGGGAAAGGGGAGCCTCCTGTGGCAGCCTCTTGATGGGTGGAGGCCAGAGGGATCCGAGGTTGCCCCTTCCTGGGCCTTTCCCACAGCCCAGCTGCCCTGAGCCCTGCGGCTTCGGCAGCAGAGCTCGGAATGCCCACTGGTTGGGACCTGCTGGAGGAGGTCAGTTGGTTGGGCTGAAGAGTTTGCTTTGCCGGCTCAGGAGAGGCTGCTTTTGGAGCCATCAGTACTGCGAGGGCCCTAGAGGAGGGAGGGATGGTGGCTGTGGCTGCCCTGGTCTGGGAGAGGACCAGGGCAGCCACTGGTTCCTGGTTCTGTGTGGCTGTTTTCTAAATAGGCCTTGTATGCAGAAGAAATTCAGAAGTCTGTCTAGAAGCAAAAATGACTACACCAAGGCTGTTATACTTTGGATAAAAAAAAGTTGATGGCATCAGGAAGAGAGGAAGCCATGTGACAGACTAAGCTTGCTGTTACATGCTGTTAAGTTGCCCCCAATTTATGGGGACCTTATGAATCAGTGTAAGGGACGTGGTGGCACTGTGGGTTAAACCACAGAAGCCTCTGTGCTGCAAGGTCGGAAGACCAAGCAGTCGTAAGATCGAATCCACGTGTAGGAGTGAGCTCCCGACGCTTGTCCCATCTCCTGCCAACCTAGCAGTTCAAAAGTATGGAAATGCAAGTAGATAAATAGGCACCACCTATTTATCTGTTAAGGTAACAGCGTTCCATGTATAGTTGTGCTGGCCACGTGACCACGGAAACTGTCTACGGACAAACGCTGGCTCTACAGCTTGGAGACTGGGATCAGCACCACGCCCTAGGGTCGGACACGACTGGACTAAATGTCAAGGGGAACCTTTACCTTTACCTATGAATTAGTAATCTCCAAAATGTCCTGTCCTCAACAGCCTTGCTCAGCTCTTGCAAACTCAAGCTTGTTGCTTCCTTTAGGGAGGCAGTCCACATCATACTTGATCTTTCTCTTTTCCTGCTGCCTTCCACCTTTCTCAGCATTAGTGTACTGTCCAGAGAATCCTGCCTTTCATTTTGTGCCCAAAGTAGGATAGTTTCAACACTTATCCCTCCAGAGGTAGTTCAGGCTGGATTAGACCTATGATCTACTTGTTTGTCTTTCTGTTGGTCCAGGGTATCCACAAAGCTCTCCTCCAGAACCACATTTCAAACATTTTCTTCCTGTCGGGTTTCTTTACTGTCCAGCTTTTTCATATTCACACACACAAAGTGGAAATTCAATAAGACGGACGATCTAGGTCTTGGCCTTCAGTGACACAACCTTACACTTGATGATCTTTTCTAGTTCCTCCATTGCTGCCCTTCTGAGTCTCAGCCTTCTTCTGATTTGTCTTCTTCTGATTTGTTTGGATTGATAATTGAACCAAAATATACAAAATCTTTAACAATTTCCATTTCTTCTGAAATCTGAAGATTTTTGTCTTTTTAATGTTCAGCTGCAGTCCTGCTTTGGCAAGTTCTTCTTTCACTTTAATCAGAAGTCACTTCAAAATGTAAGCAAGATGTAGCACAGGCTATGAGACTGGCATGTCACATTCCCACCCACAAGAAAGGAGATCCCAAAGAGTGAAGTAACTGTAAGGCCATTGCAGTAGTTTCCTATGCAAGCAAAGTGCTTAGTAAAATTTGGCGCAGCAAAACCTTTTTTAATATGTAGAGCAAAAAATGTCCAGAATTCAAGCTCGGCTGAGAAGGAATTGATCTGTTGTGGACTTTTTGGTTCAACCCAACGGGTGGGAAAGTCTTAGGAAGAGGCTGTGATTCAAGATTTGAATTGAGAAAGAGTGGGAGAGCTCTGAGAGGCAGGAGCTGCTGTTCACCTGAAGGGTGTTAAGGCCCCTTCCACCTTGGCTTAGGCCATAGAGTCTCAATGGCTTTGTGCAGGAAGGTGCCCTGGATGGCTAAATCCACATAGCGATCTTGTATTTGTGTTTGCAATTTATTTTAGGGCGTTAAAGGCTATATACTGGGAGCTGTTTCCTTTCTGTTGTGAATCTCCCACTTCAGTAGATCAATATACCTGGGACTTTGTTTTTCTGTAATTTCAAAGAAACATTTCCATACTTCTTTCTTTCCTGAAGCAACTCCTGCTTTGGCGGCCAGAGTGGGGGGGGCACAGGGGTGGTAGTCTTTGGACACAAAATTCTTAGAGGTGAAAAATTTCAGCCCTGCCACGGAGCCATTGGGCAATAAATTGTGTGAGCTTCTCCTCCCCACACCTTGCTTCCCCTCTTCTGGCTGCGCGGCCTCGCTCGCTGCTTGCTCCTTTTCCCCCTCTGAGCAGGTGGTGGTAGGGTTTGGCGGCCTAGAACAATCCATCTTCCCTCCCCTCCATGTAAACAAGACAGGAGAGCAAGCCATGAGGAGGGGGTGGTGTGGGGAGGGAGCTGAGGTGGCACCGAGGCCCCCTCCTCTGCTGCTTCCCAAGACCTCGAGGGTGCATAATACTTGTCTTGCTCCAGATGCTGGCAACCCACACTTCACCACTAGGATTACTACAATATCACAAACATGGCAGATCTTTGATTTCTTCAGAACTCTTTTTCAGATTTAGATGGTAGAAAATTTTGGGATGAGATAAAAGTGTTTCTTGTAACATATAATTTGTTCACAGTTGATTTATTTGAGGGTGCTGAAATTACTACACAGTGACTAGAAAAACACAAGTGCAATATCTGCCTTAGAGCCCAAATAAACTTTTCCTTGAAATCAATGCAGGGGTATCATTAATGGAACTAATTTGGTTATGGAATACCTACCAGCTTTGTGACTTTGTTCTTTGTTTATTTTATTTGTTTGGTCCATTGTATCCTACAGCACCACTGATTGTAAGATGCCCTTCTTTTATTTAGTGTATTTTAATATCTCTGCTTCTTGCTTTGTTTTCCACCCTATTAAATAAAGACCAAGAAACGGCAGGCCTTCCAAACAGAGACCTGTGAAAACAACATGAGAGAGCTGCAGTTACTCTTGGACAGCTTTCCTGTGTCAGGCCCACGGACAGCAGGTTAGTTGAAGGTATAAAATGACAGATGCATCTGTCAATGTTCCAAAGTCGCTACATTGTGGGAATTCTGCAGATGCCTCTTGTGTTCCCTCTTCTCAACATGCTTTGATTTGATGACATGATAAGAGCAGTTCTCACAGCAGTCAAGTGGCCTTTCTAGCTAGGATGGGGTGGCTGTATGCAGGCCTGCTGTTCACAACCCCAAAGTTGATTTACAAGTGTTGTGTTGTATGTGTGAGCGGTCACGAAAGGGCTGGCTGGCGGCGCTCTAAATCCAACTGAGAAAAAAGTCCTTATAGTATGCCTACAAGGGGAACAGATGTTTTTGATTGAACTGAGCCAAATTCAGAGGCAACCTTCAGCTGCTTTAAGGTCATATATTCAAAAAAGGTTATGTAGGACACAGAGTGTAACACATCACTCTTTACTGCATCACTCTTTGAAGTCAGTAGAGGGGCAGTTGTTACATTCATGCCAACATACATTCTACCCCATATGATCTGTGAAAATGACCTCTTTTTTTATAATGTCCTTCATGTGGTGTTGATATTAATTATACCAAATGGGAAGCGGCACTGGAAGAACAAAATATCTAGTCCTTTTAAAAAACATTTTGAAGATATCTTTGCCTCTTAATTCTCTTGTGGTTTGTTTTTTGAGTCCTTGTGATTACATTCTTTTTATAACAGATCTTCCTTCCCTGTTTCTCTTTGCTGTGTGTAGAAGAGAGATTTAAAAAAGGAAATTTAAAATGCTAACAAGCTAACTAGCTCCCAAAGTTTGTTCAGATATAATAGGACACACCAAATGTTAGTTCCATATCCAGGAGACCCATTGAATGAGTGGGATTTGTTAATGAAGTTCTTCCTAAGTCCCACTGCTTCAGTGACAACTAGATTTACTTCATGCCATGGTTGAGATAACACACACTCAAAAAATAATGGTTGGATTAGAAGAGTTTGTCAAACAACTTCTTAGGTATGGGATCCCCTGCAGAAATATTAATACGGTAGTATTAAAATGTTCTTTATATGCTAAAGGTATGAATGTGCACACTCAGAAGATACTTGTCATATTTAAAAAGTACATCAAACTGCCGTTTAGGTTATAATCCCTCCCCAAATGTTAATAGTAAAAATAAGGTTCTTTACACATTTCTATTTCTGTCTCACAGGGACACAGCCATACTATATAGTCATTATTGCATGCTGGGAAGCTTCCCTGTTTGCTTTAAAAGATTGGGGGGGGGGTGCTTAACACTTTCTCTTACATTTCATTTTAGTGTTTATAGACCAGTGATTGGGTGCTATATCAGAATTCAATTTGACCCAACTCTGGGAGGCAGTGGAAGACAGGAGGGCCTGGCGTGCTCTAGTCCATGGGGTCACGAAGAGTCGGACACGACTTAACGACTGAACAACAACCAACAACAAATGTCAGAATTCAGGCTACATCTGGGGAGTTGAGGAGACAGAGAGGCCAAGTGTTGTGTGACTTGAGAAACTGCATCCATTGAAGCTGGCTAGGAGCTCACTGCTTCTTTGCATGTTAGGAGCATGGAATACGAGTTTTGAAAGTTTCCTTCTAGAACAACTTTTTAGGACAGAAATTTTGGCAAGGGATGTTGGCTTCCTGCAGAAGGAAACCAAGACAATACAAATAAAATATGAGAGTAATTATTGATATAGAACTTATGCCTGTGTGTATTATTTTTAGTTTTAGAATTGGAGTTTGCTTGTCCATTTGTGGTCCTAGGGGTGGAGATGAGGTTGAAAATGTGCCTTTATCACAGTGCTCTTAGATTATTGTCTTCTTTCCCTTCCTCTTCCATCCATTTCCATGGAACTAACATTTTTCAACACTGTGTAATTTAAGGATAGAGAGTCTGTGTTTTAAGGCAGAATAAAACAAGGCTTTGTAGAATAAGTTGATATTTTGTCCTGGTTGCTTAAGTTGCTTAAGGGGGACGTGGTGGCGCTGTGGGCTAAACTGCAGAAGCCTGTGCTGCAGGGTCAGAAGACCAACAGGCGTAAGATCAAATCCACGTGATGGAGTGAGCTCCCGTCGTTTGTCCCAGCTCCCGCCAACCTAGCGGTTCAAAAGCATGCAAATGCAAGTAGATAAATAGGGACCACCTCGGTGGGAAGGTAACAGCATTCCGTGTCTAAGTCGCACTGGCCCTGTGACCACGGAAGATTGTCTTTGGACAAAACGCTGGCTTTATGGCTTGGAAATGGGGATGAGCACCACCCCCTAGAGTCGAACACGACTGGACAAAAATTGTCAAGGGGAACCTTTACCTTTACCTTTACCTGCTTAAGTTAATGAAACCAATGAGGTGGCATGCTTTCAGTATAGATGTAAAACTCTAGGAAATTTAGATTTTAAAACAAAAGGTAAACACTGATGTGGCTGAGAGTCATTAAATATTGGCAGCTGGATTTTTTTACATGTGCAATTGTGTCACAAGTTAGACCAGTGGTATGAGAACTGTTGTTCTATAGTCGTTAAGTCATGTCCGACTCTTCGTGACCCCATGGACCAGAGCACGCCAGACTCTCCTGTCTTCCACTGCCTCCTGGAGTTTGGTAAAATTCATGTTGGTAGCTTTGATGACACTGTCTATCCATCTCGTTCTGTGTTGGCCCCTTCTCCTCTTGCCTTCACACTTACCCAACATCAGGCTCTTTTCAAGGGAGTCTTCTCTTCTCATGCAATGGCTCTTCTCAAGTATTGGAGCCTCAACTTCAGGATCTGTCATTCCAGTGAGCACTCAGGGTTGATTTCCTTCAAAATGGATAAGTTTGATCTCCTTGCAGTCCAAGGGACTCTTAAGAGTCTCCTCCAGCACCACAATGAGAACTAGTCTGCTGCATATTTTCTCTTAGTATTTTTTTCCTTCTAGTCTGTGCAGCACCAAAGATATATTTATTTTCTGGATTTATAAGGTGGTACGTATGGTTCTCCTCCTCAACACTTAATCCCTTCAGCAATCCTGTGAGGTAGGTAAAACTGAGACAGAGTGACTGGCTCATTGCCATACAATAAATGTCTTGGCTGAGTCATGACCAGAACTTTTATCTTCCAAATTCAGCATTTTAACCACTGGATCACACTGTTGCAGGCTTTTGACTCTTTAAAATATAGAATCTTCTCCCTTTTTCATAGTTACTCATTTCATGTTTTACAGAATTCTTTTAAGTATGAGATTACTTAAGTATGAGCTTCAGTCTCCAAAATACAAGATATAAAATGTGCAACAGTGGTTTCCTCATTCACTTGGTAGCTTCCAGGCCTTCAGGACTAATCTTCTAAATAGAATATTTTTCATTTTGAGAAACTTAAGAAATGTGGGAATCTTGAATTCTAATCTCAAAATTACAGGCATGTTTGTATGGGCATTTTGTAAACATCAGAAGAGGAGCTGCAAATGCAAGTAGATAAATAGGGACCACCTCGGTGGGAAGGTAATAGCGTGCCGTGTTTAAGTCGCACTGGCCATGTGACCACGGAAGGTTGTCTTCGGACAAAAACGCTGGCTCTATAGCTTGGAAACAGGGATGAGCACTGCCCCCTAGAGTCGAACACGACTGGACAAAAATTGTCAAGGGGAACCTTTACCTTTACCTTTTGTATGGGCATTTTGTAAACATCAGAAGAGGAGCTAACAGTGATTCAGGTTTGTAAATTTAGTGCTAGATTTAAAGTTCAAGGCACAGCCCTTCAGCTATTGTGGAGCATGAGATTAGTGTCTGTGAGTTCCCTTTTGAGGATTACAGATGCCAAGCTGCTTTCAATAGCATCAATCTGTACTGTAATCCTATTCAGTGAAATTTCAGTGATTTCAATTCCATGCTGAACTTTTTTTCTTGATAGAGATGCGCATAAATCTTGGTTCATAGGTTCGTGCAAGTTCTTATGTGAGGCACCACGGGTGCCACTCGTTCCCTTCCCCTGCCTCCCCAGCTGGATCTTCCCACTCACCAGCCACCACATACTCCTCTTCTTTGGTGGTTTGACCAGTCTCAGGTAGCAGCACAGGCTTCTCTGCTCCACCTCCTTGGCCGATCACCCACTCAGACAAAGAGGCAGGACAGGAAGACCAGTGTATCTGCCAGGGACTTGTTGAACAGTCAAAGAGGAGAAGGAAAGGCGCATGGTCTGACTGGTGATTGGGTCATTGGCTGGGAAGTCAGAACTCACTAATCTGTTTCTTGATATCATAGAATCGTAGAAAAGTGAAGGGGCCTACAAGGTCATCATGTCCAACCCCCTGCTCAATGCAGGAATATAATCAAAGCATATCTGCCAGGTGATTACGTTTTTCTTGAATGCCTCCAGTGTTGAAGCATTCATCAATTCCCAGAGTTCCACTGTCGTACAGCTCTAACAGTTACGAAGTTTTTCCAAATATTCAACCAAAATCTGGCTTCCATCATTGTGCGCCCTGCACTCTGGGATGATTGAGAACAGATCTTGCTCCTCCTCTGTATGACAGCATTTAAAATACTTTAAATTGTGCTATTATATCACCCCTCAACCTTCTTTTCTCAAGGCTAAACATGCCCGCTTCTTTCAGCCTTTCCTCATAAGGCTTGGTTTCTAGCCCTCTGATCATCCTTGTCACCCTCCTCTGAACTTGTTCCAATTTGTTAGCATCCTTCTTGCAGTGTGGTGTCCAGAACTGGATACAGTACTCAAGGTGAGACCTAACTAGTGCTGAATAGAGGGGGAGTAGCACCTCGCGGGATTTGGAAATTATACTTCTGTTAATGCAGCCTAAAATAGCATTTGCCTTTTTTGTAACTACATCATATGGTTAGTCCATATTTAGCCTGTGAGCTACGACAATTCCAAGATCCTTCTTACTCGTAGTTTTGCTGAGCCAGGTATCCCCCATCTTGTAAGTGTGCCACTGGTGAAGTAAAATAGGAATTGAGCATCTCTGCCGTTTCTTTGTCCTCTATTATCATTGTTCCATCTCCATTGCAGAGCTGTGC